TGTACATGCCTCGTAATCTTGTATTTAGGCCCTAAATAACATTTCAATTGAAGAATGCATCTAATTACCATCCTTATCTACTGGGAGTAACACACTGCACAAAGTGTTGCTTTCTTGCAAAATTCATCCAAGCTTGACTGATTGCTCTGAATACTTACATACCAGAAACGAAGATTACAGTACCAAAAATGTGGAAACCCCTTCCATAAAACCCCTTTCCAACAGATTCTACATTCTTAACAGGAACAAACACAGACAGGAAAGGTCAAAAAGTACAGGCAGAAGGAGCAAAGGGCTGAGCAGAGCATGGCTTGGGGGTTCCTGCTCTCTGCCATCCCAGAGCAAACAGGGAAGGGCTGGGAAAAAGTGGTGGTGAGTGGGAGAGGAGCAGCCCACGCAGGAATGGAAAAGCCTAATGGATTGGAAGCTGTGGCCAAAGCTCCTCAAACCGCCCACGTCCAAAGGCAGTGGAGGCCGCCCTTTGGAGCAGCTCCTCTCTTGTGCCTCACCCTGCAAGGGTTCCCTCCTCCCTCCAAGGGATCCCAAGGGCTGCTCCTGCCCTGCTCCCTGCTCCGGCGGCGACGCTGCGCGGGGCACAGGCTCCTCATCGGCTCCTTCAGCTGGCACCGACAAATGAGCTCATGTATTTGGCCGCTGTCCATTCCCGAGAGATCTCCTCACTGCGCTGCCAGGCGGTGCGAAGGCCAAGAACACCCTATGGCGGAGCCGCTGAAGGACCCCCCTCATGATCCTCAAGGATCACCTTGGAACAGCGAGGGTGGATTAAGCTCTTCCCTCCCATTTACAAAGGCCACCCTATTAGTGCCTGCAGCCACCAACAGTCATTAGCGAAGACAGCGAAAAGCAAAAGCACCACATAGTTGTCATCTCCTCTTTCCTTCAAGCAAACACAAGCCCTCTATTTTTGTTAAGGAACATCATTAGATTCTTTTTTTTTTTCACCCCCCAAGGAAGGGAATCTAGTGCTGACTCCTCACGATCAGCTTCCAAAGGGACACTGAGTCATGGTCTCCACGATGCAGTGAGACTTGCACAGCTACTGACAATTTATTCACTCAAGAGCCAATCGATAAGGCTGCAGAAATCCACAGCAGGCTGCAGTGAATTTGCAACAATATATGTAATTAGGGAATTCTAAATTATCTATCTCTATATTTTTAGGAACAAATCTCCCACTCGAACACACAACATTCTCCTTTGCAGGAAGAAAAGCTTCAGCATTTGGAAGAACTCAGCAAGTTTCTGTCCTCCACGAGAGAACCTGGTGTGCGTCGATACATCCTGCTTTTGGAGCAGAAAGCTAGAGAGAAGCAAACTCTAAGCAAAATTTTAAGAGAGGTCAGAAGAACAGAGTAATCTTTAAGATAAATTTTATGCCTTTTTGTTGGTGGCAGTGGTGGTGGTTTTTTTGCCTCCAAATTTCCTTTCAGCATTAGCCCAAGGCAATCTTACTTAATACACAGGTATAACCAGGTTGTCCCATGGGGTGTGTATACTCACTTCATGCACCTAGGCTCTCCTTTAACAAGCAAAACTAGGGCCAAAACCAAAAATCCTCAGGTGGCCTAAACTGCTAACTCTTCACCAGCACAACTTGAACCCTCCAGGCCAGCAGAGGTTTCTCTCCAACACGTCGCTCCCTCCAAAACTGGCCAAAGACTGAAGCGCACCGGGGAAAAGGGAAGCAAGATGCTGTTTATTTCTGCTTGGCTGAAGGCTCTTGGTGTTAAAACATTCTTTGTATTAAATCATCTATTCACAAAAGCTGCAAAAATAAATAAAAAAAAGGACAAGGTTAAGTGGCCTAGCCAATGAATTTGCAATAACTATTACTCATTTTAACGTATATTGGTGATCTTCTTTAGGGTTTGCTGAAAAATAATTCCAAGCGTAGCTTCTTCCTCGCCCTTAGCCTGGGTCTCATTAGTCATGTTCTGAGGCAACAGGTTTCCATGACAGCAAACACGGAGTGTCTCCCAGCACAGCGCTCTGAATCTGCTCCAAACGCTCCGCTCTCCCTCCTGCACTTCAACCTGGACCTGCTCTGCCCACGACAAAAAGTCCTTGACCGAACCTAATAGTCATTTGAATTGTGAACCATGTTTTCCCTGTGCTATGATCTTTCTAAAGAACACGCGCTCTGCACAATTCAGTAAAGGCTGCCAAATCCTGGGAGCGAGGATGCTCTCACCTGCTCTGAGCTCACTAGTTCTCGGCAGCAATTTAAAACAAAAATATCCCCACGTAAAATCATAACGCTGAACAAGTTGACTCCATGTCCGTGAAGTTATCTGACGCTAATGAAAATCCCGTCATAGGAATTAACTGCAGAGTTCAGAACTATGGTTAAAGACGTTATTTTATGGAGAGTGAGGGAAACACGTCCCCCACACTGAAGCTAAGAAAAAAATGTCTTCAGAAGCATTGTTAGTGGAGTCGAATGTCATTACCAAGCACAGACAGGAGCGTGCTTTCTTCAGCAAACATTTGGAACATTGTTATTTTGAGAGGTGACTGCTGATCTAATGTCTCTACCTCACTCACAGGTTTTTCTGAAAGCCTCACACACTGTTGAACTCTTCTAATCTTTCTTTACGTTTCAGTCCCTCCTGACATGTATGAACCTTTACTGTGTGCTGCGCTACTCCAGTGCAGCACAGCACCAAGCAGAGGACAAAAGTCATGTGTTCTCTATTGGAAAGATGGTAAAATAGGAGGAGGAGAATAAAAAATCAGTAAATCGCTAACACAGCTTTCATAGCTTAGCATTACTCTGTCCAAAAAAAATTCAGAGAGAACTCAAACTTTACAAAAATTGTGTTTCAAAAACACCTGTTTTTCTGAAAGCATTCTTTGCTCATTTTTCTTTTTTCTTTTCCTTTTTTTTTTTATTTTTCAGGAAGAGGATCTGAGAGCAAGCTGAAGATTCATTTTGAAAGGCTTGAGTTAAGCAAAACTTGATACGAGAAAACCTAAATGCCAGTTCCCCTCCAGTTCTTTGCAAGCGTCCTCACATTTCAATTAGCCCAAACAAATGCAGAATGAAAAATCAAAACGATAATAATCCACAAATCCCACGAGTTCCTGCCACACTTCTGTTTCATTCTCCTGATGACTTCTCATACTTATTAATATTCATTTTGACATTACTACACTTATTTTTATCCAAGTGTAATCTCACACTTTCTCTCTAATTGCCCTGGTACGCTCACAGATGTCACAATTCATGAACTACAATTAGCTGCATGATGGAGAAGCAGTCCTGTCACAACTGGTAGGCACTAAGATCACAGCTAACAATCCTGCAGGCAGAGAACACTAACAAATTCAAAAGGCTTTTTGTTAGATGCTACTGGCAAAAGCAAGGAAGGGAATCCAGGTTAGCAACATGACTATGATAAATGGTGATTTTGGTAGGTGCAGTTTTGTTAAGTAGGACACATGGGCTTGCAGTTTGTCAGCGGGTGAGGGTTCTTCCTAAAATGAATAGAAAGGCAGGCTTGTAATATCCTTATAAGAAATTATTGCCTTTTTGCAGCTCCTGTTTTGATAAATTGAAAAACTCAAGGAATGTGACAGTCGTAAAATACAGTCGGAGAGTCAGAGTATAGCTCAAAAAAAAAAAAAGGAAAGAGTAAAAGCAAGGAAAATTACTGACAATTTCATTGAATAACAGTGACTTATCAAAGCAAAGAGCTAGATCTGTAAGGAGCCTCTTCACACATTCTGAAGTGGCTTCTTAATCAATTAAATACACTTCTTTAAATACTATCATTTCAAACCAAGAGAAAATAATATGCAGTTCATACAATTTCATTATTTTACTATTAAATTGGATGTCTTCAGACCTAATGAAAGCCCTTCAGCAATTCTGGTATTTTTTTCAGTGCTAAAAGTATCACTTTGACATCAATACAGAGAAAACAGATGGATAAAGTAATTATAAAATGAACAGCATGATGCTATGAAGCAACTTCTCACAGTTTTACTAATAGGATAGATAAACAATAGTATAAAATAAGTGGGTTGATGATTAGCAAAGTTACGTCAGGGTGTTCAGGGAAAACAAATAAATAAATCACACACACACAAAAAAAACCCCATTGTCCTGGGAAGAGGATGTAGCGATGAAAAACTTAGAATAATGAGTCAGGACATTTAAAGATTACAAAAATCCTTCAAGGAAAATAGTGGCTGTGCATTCCAGAAATCAAAGAGAGTAAATGTTGAAGGGAAATGCAGATCAACACTCAGATCATCCTGGCATATTTCCATACTTACCTAAATTCTGTATAGGATAACTTCATGATTTGACAAAAGATTAATAGGGTAAGATAGATAAAAGAGAAATTCTTTCAGTTTTGAAGTCTAATAAAGAATAGAATAATTTCCCCAAGGAAGCAAATTAAATCTTTCTATAGAGAGGGCAGAGTACTCAAGATCCCCCACCCCTACCAAAAAAAAACCCCATGAACTGAGGAAGAGATGAAAAAGGTAACACAGCTGCTGCTCCACACAAAACTACAGTGTTTTATAACACACAAGATTTACAGCCCAACTGGTTCTTTTCCTTTTTTCCATTTTCAAAACCCACTTGGATGCAATCCTGTGTAACGTGCTCCAGGTGACCCTGCGTGTGCAGGGCGGTTGGACTACATGATCTCTGAAGATGACCCAACCTTAAGGACTCTATGATTCTATGATTTTAACCCTTTTCCGTTTGTGTAGTTTACAAAGTTATATGAAGCTGATTAAACTGTTCAGCCTTCATAAAACTAGGCCATGTTCACCTTCACAGGGAAAGACACAGAAATAGGCCACCTGCATGAAGAATTAAAAGGACTACTAAAACCTGACAGGGGCCTGCTTAGACTCAAGACAATTCTTCTAGATTACATGGAAGTGCACATTTCTTCTGATGCTAGAGAGGTTAATATGTCCAGAATAAACTTCTGAAATTAGGGTCCACAACAGCTTGATTTTTAGAAAAAAAATTATTATTATTAGACTAGAATAATCATTACATTTGTACAAAAGTAGAGTCATACAGTCAGCAGCAGACCAAAACTAGTATAAATACCTCTTCCAAGTATTGTCAAAATATCATCTTAATTTGACAAATCCTATCAGACATCATATAAAACAGGTGTTCAGTCCAGTAGGGAATAGAGAGTAGATCGAGTGCAATCACAGTTCTGAGAAACAAGTGCAAGCTTGAAATTCTTAAACCTGATACTACATTAGCTGACCTTCATCTTGACCATTATACAAACACATCCCTTTTGTTACTGGTTTTATGGTATTTCTCTGAGGCACTTTCTCATCTGGCACTTTGGGCAGCAATTTCAGTATGTGCATTTTATAGGTGTACACAGCAGTTTTCTCTCCAGGTAATTTTAACATTAAAATGCAGGCTTGTTCATGTACTCTTCCACTGTCTGCAGAAAAACAAAGAAAGAAAGGATTGTGGAGTTGTGAAGCAGCACAATATAAAGTTTTAGAAACAAATCTCCTTGTTCTCTTTGAAGGTATAGTTTTGCATGGAATTAGAAGAGATTAAAATTTAGCAATAATGCTACTTCAATTAAAAAATATTATTGGCCTTTAGAGTCTGCTCTTCAAATCAAAACATCCCAGAGTTACTGCTAATCTCATCCTATCTAGTTGGCCTTGGTGTGTAAATGGCCTACTCACATGGGCAAATTCCAGACCTCTTTGAAAAAGGCTCAACTCACGTAGCATTTCCCTAGCTTTTATACCCTTTAATGTTAGATCATCCAAAACTACGAAGTAAATCCATTACATTTATCTTCTCCTGTCATTACAGACTCCACAATATAAGTTACTGAAGAAAATTCCTGCTGGGTTTTGATTAATTGTTACACACCTGTACCTTGTAGAAAAACTACACAGGTGTTTACAAAAAAGAGAAAAAAAAAAGGTTTCCAGCATGCCCCTATTCTGATTTATTCTGATTTTAAATGTTATATATAGGTCATTTGTTTCCATCTATGTGTGAAACAGAAATAGCTTTTATATATATATATATACACACACATACATATGTATACAATAAAAAATAACCTTAGATTTTATATATATATATACACACACTATATATATATATCTTAGATATAGCTTAACAATTAAGAACTGTAATAACGCTTGTATCTTATAGCTTTATTACAGTTCTTAATACTGTAATAAAGATACTGTATCAGTTCAACCCCTAAAAAGCAGGAGAAGAATGCAAGAAACTTCAAGCTGATTTCCTAAGATAAGAAAGCCAAATTCAGCTGGTCTGTAACTGCTAACTTAACCGCTGTATCTGGTGAAACGGAACTTAATCAAATACCAGGTGTATTTAGCTGTGTTTTAAGCTCCTGTCAAGGAAAGGAGCTGCAGACAGATGAGGTGTTTGCCTTTCGTGTCTTACCTCTTGCAACATGTCAGAATCTTCTATTGCTTTCACTGCAGACTTCTTTGAGGTTTCTTGTACTTCTCCACCCATTATAAATTCATCCAGAATAAAATAAGCTTTTTCAAAATTAAAGATTATATCCAGCTCACACACCTGGCAGGACAAAAAAAACCACCCCGTATTTAATCAATTTCACGGCATTATAAATATTACTTATCAAGTGTATTCAATATATTTATTCCTTTGGCAGGTAGCAGAGTGAAGAAAGACACTGCTTATTACACAGTGTCACAGCTTCTGCACACACACATCATTATTCTCTGCACACAGACTAAATATAAAGATATTTTATTTATTACATTTTGTACAACACATTGTATTTGTATCAAGTTTAATAAGCATGAAGCTGACTTCCAATAAAGCCTCATCTATTATCTTTGCAGTAGGTCTATATGGCACATGTATGGATTACATACATTCATATAGAGCTTCCCAGTGCAAGACCAATTCCCTGTCCTAGTGACCTTGCAGTGACCAACTGCTGCTTTGTTCTGAGCCTGCACAAACGTGAGTCATGGCACAGTGATCGAGATAAGGCATGAACTGAGGCAGAGGGAACAATTTCAATTGCATGAAATATGCATGGAGAAATGGGTCTCTTGTAGTCTTTAAAGACTTCTTTGAATCTTCCTTCAGGCCTTTTTTGTTTCCAAAAATATGAAAACAACCCCCCCTTATTTATACAACCTCATTTTTTTTACATGCCTTTTATTCTGGCACAATATTATAGTAAAAAAAAAATAAATAAATAGAAGGAAAAGAAAAAGCAGCATACCTGAAGATATCAGGAAGAAAAATTAGAGCCAATCACCAATTGTCACCCAATTTTTTTTTTTCTAAATAATTTTCCTCCAGCTTTTCCCTTAAATTCTACTGCCAGAAGAAGATGCAAAACATAAAGGTTGATTTTGTTTCGGGAGAAAGAATGGCAAGCATCTTTTTGTGTAGTTTCAGCATTACATTATTACACACTCTGTTAATGAGTCCCACTCCAGATTGACAGGCAGAGTCTATGAGGGCAAGCAGTGCATGTGGAAACACCAGGCCCAGCAGCTACAGATAATTGCATTCCTGGCTGCCAGAAAAAACAAACACCCCACGGTAGAAAATGAAACCTACATTTCCAAAGTATCTGTCCAGTAGTTCTACATATCGATGAACGACCTCTAGTGTCAGGAGCTCGTTATCCTGCTCTTCTATTGCACAACAGAAGTACAAACTAGCATACCTAGGAAAATAAAGGCAAAAACAGGAGAGCAAACAACGGGATTCTCAATGCTTTGCTCTTGGCAAAGCAACAAATGTGATAATATCTACCCGGTCTCTAGAAAAGCTGTGCTTTTTCTTCCTCACAGTGCCTCATGGAGCATATAAAATCAAGAAGTTAAACAAATTATTATTAATTTAGTATTTTTTTTTAAAAAGGCCACCTTTGGCCAAGTGGAAAACCCCTGGAATATTAGAACCCTCAACTACTGGTTCTTAGCAAAGCAAACAAGGAGCACTTCAGAGACCTACATCATCTGCTGCAGCAGCTTTGCAGGCTACAGTGAATTAATTGTAAAATGGATTATTAATGGGTTATTAGCTCTTTATTTTTTATATATATATATGTTTGCATGCAAAAATAAAGGTGGAAAGAGCTACAGATACATGTGCAGTGGTTAGAGCCCCAAGATGTAACAGCAGCTGATCAGATTCATATCTTACAGATTACTTTTTATGTCCATTATTTCACTGTAAGATACTATTTATTTGCTACACGGGAGGTGCTATAGTTTGTATAGTGTGCTATAATTAAGCCTAATTTTGTTTACTGTAACTTTACAAGGATTAAAAGGCAGTTATTGCTACACATCATGTAACCCGGGCCAACAACTTGTTTAGAAAAGTAAACAGGAATTAAAAATTTCCAGAGTAACAAATATTTCAAAGACAAAAGCAGACAAAATGTTGAAAGGCCCTCAGAACATTTTTTACAACTTTTAAGAGCCTCATAAAGCCTAGTACACTTCCAGTCAAATATCTTGAAGATCTAGACGGAGGATTAAAGCCTAAAGCCTTCCAACAGAATTTCAACCATTAATACATACTATATTACCCCCATTTTTCTCTTTTGACAAATAGAGTAAGTATTTTTCACCTAACAATTTACTTTGTTGGTTTATCCAGGGACCCTGGTGCACAGGTTTGACTCTGTATGGAAGATGTCCACTATCATGTTCTGGCACTCGGCACTTTTTAAAAACAAATGTGAGCATTTTCTTTTCCTCTTCTAGCATGTTTAGTATTTATAAGAATGGTAACTGTATGTTCTCATAAAATTACTCACACCTTTTGTAAACAAGCTTGAGGTCTTTCCAGTCAATAAAGCTGCTTGTTTTTTGATTGCGAGCCAATACAACCTGAACAATTTCTCGGGTGATCTTTTTCTTCTCTTTCTCAGGCAGCGTCGTATACCACTTCTGAAGCCTCAGTTTCCCCTGGCGACTGAACAGCAGTATGAAGTGTATCTGGAATAAACAGAGCAACGTGGTTAGTGCTCCCCAGGCAGCCTCTGGAATGTACAGCAGCACGAAGATCCTGTCTGTGTGCGACTTGGGAAGCCTGTGAGATCTTCGTGAAGCCACCCCTAACGCTGAAGGGTGTTTGGGACACGGTGCCAGGGAGGTTTGAGGGGCTCAGCGTGGCAGCAGGGGATCCCAGTGTCCAAGCGTGGAAGCTGGCTTGACCATTTCAAGGCACAAACTAAATGCAATGATCCCAAAGGAAGCTCTGAGGAACGGAACAACCAACTACTTTGGACCTTGACAAGGTTTACAAAACAAATCACAATATTATGCAATACAGTTTATTATGGGCCTAGGGCATTACAATAAAAAAGCACTGCATGGGTATTGGTTCTATTAATTTTTCAGTTTTAAAGCTAATTAGAATTTTGCATGGTTTGGCCCATATTTTTTCCAAGCTTAGCATTAGCAGTATGATTGAAATACAGAACAACTAGCTTTAAAATCGGCTAAAAGCCAATGAGCTTTCAGGAGAAAACTGAACACAACACAAACACTTTTCTCAGCAGATTAAAGGAACTGACCATACTACGTCTACAAGCAGCCTAGCAAGTCGTCTGTTCTCCGCACAGAAATTGCTTTCACAACTCAGGAAACCTATTTGAGGATGACCCTCCGTCTCGATGGGATGTGCTCTGCTAAATGAGCACACTCTTCTTCACCTGGCTTATCCTCTTTCCATGCTTCCCTGTCACTTCTTCTCCCCACTAAGGATTAAAGTTAGGGTTCATAATTACCGTGAAGATCACAGTGCAGATTTCTGTGAAGAAACAAAGTCATTCTGCACTTTGGTAAAGTCAAAGCACAAAAGTGCATCATAGAAGCTCCTACTTAAAAGTATAAGGAGAAAAAAAAAGCCGAATTTCAAACAAAATATTTATTCATAATTCAGAACTATTCTCTAGTAAATAAGCCATAATAGTTGTTGAGTGATCTGGAGACAAGAACTCTGAAAATCTTGGAAAAGACTTCAGATGAGGGATTATTTTAAGGACAGGAGGGTTGTTTGAGTCCTGTCTGTCTGTGGCAGGGTTGCTACAGCTGCAGATATGACTCTTGCTATCATTAGGCTAATGTGCTTGATAAAATTACAAGGATTTTATAGCTGCCTTTTACTGAATACTATATTCTCCAGATAAGTTTACTAAATAAAAATAATTATGCTCCTGGTGGTATCCATGCCCTGATGACAGCGAGGATCAAAGCACCAGGTTCTTGCCTTTCTCTCCTCCCATTACCTGAACAGACCAATTTTGACCTGATAATATTCCAACCATCTCTCCTCCTTCCCAGTACATGAAGGGACTTATTGTCCGTGCACTTGTCCACTGGCAGGAGCTGCATGAAGGAAAGGCTGTTTTCCTTGCTGCACAGCACATTCGCTTCAAAGCCTTTGCAAAAATGAGAGTATTTTGAAAAGCTGAGAGAATCAGCTCTGCAGATGCAGGTCAGCAGGTGCTTGTTATAAACTAATAAGGCAGAGGCAGCAGCTATTTGATAAACATACATCTAAAATAAGTTGAGATACACAGGGCAGGAGGATCAGATTCCAGGGAAATGGCAGGGAGTTGGTGAATCCTGGCAAAAGCTGTGAGCATGCTCAGCAAAAAAAGATTCCTATTTCTTGAAAGACCTTCTTGCATCCTCAGAAAAGCAGCAGTCTGCTTGCAGTGCTCCAATACAGGAACATGATGCCACTGTGTTCTGGTTTAGGTTCAACTGCTGGATCCACAAGACTTTTAAAATCTGAATGCCTGCGAGATACATATATACATACACATGTATCTCTAGGTCAGCAACCATATACCTCCAAAGGGTAAACATGAATATATTCTCCATCTGCTGAAGATTAACTTCAACATGTTAAACTTTACCCCTAGGAAAATTAGCTGCTTTCCATTCAAAACTGTTTTGAAAACACCACTGAGTTTCTTCTAAAGATGCCATTGACTTTCACCACGATTCATACACTTCCACAAATAAAAGGCAACATCTTCCTGAAGCAACCAAAAAACACCCATTAATACTCTTTTATGCACTGAAATTCATATACCAGCTTCAAGTACCTGTCTTTTGGGCCTTGTATACTATGTTCCACTTCCCACACAATATATACCTCCATACCCCATAATTAATTCTATGACTATTGAAATATTTACGGCTAGAAAATACACAAGAGAGGCTGTTGTAGTCCATCCCCATGCTAATTTTCAATGCAGCAAAACAGCAAATACTATCCTTTGGCCCACGCGTGTATTACTGGTTGAGATGTCCTGCAAAGCAATATATTAGAAAGCTGTAGTTATCTTGCAGTTATCTTAAAACAAAACAAAAAACACTGTTTTTTCCCCCCTTCTGATTCATCTCCCTTTTCTGACTTCTGAACTCCACTCAATCTGGAGAAGGTGCTGGAAGGCAAGTAATCTCACATTCTCAGGTTATTAAATAGCTTAATTCCTGCAAGTTTTAACATCAAATTGCTGTAGACGCTTCTTCATTCAGGTCCACACTGCACTGCCTAGGCCCATTAACATGATATAATCCATTTTTGATTCATGTAGTTCCATTCATTACAGCTCACTGAAAAGATTTTGATGCATCATTGTACCTGGGAAATAAAGCATAAATGCAAATCTAATAGCTCATCTGTTCCTGGTCTTTGATTCTGGCAAAATTAATGTTTTCCAATTGTACTAATGACAAGACAGATGTTGAGTAAGGGATTTTTGGTTGATGTTCAGCAGCTGATCTACAAAGAAGGGCAAACTATCTTGCAATATTTTATTTTTAATTCCAAAGAACAGCATTCACAAATGATTTGCTTCAAAGCAGGTAACTTTGAAGCAGCAGACTTGGTTTTCTTCCACTACATTTTCAGAGTGTGCTGGATATGACTAATAATCACATTTTAAATCAATGAAATTCCTTGTAGTTGGCTGACTCAAACTTGGATCATCTGTACTTTTCACAGAGGTTTAATCAAAACTGTACAGTATTCTTAATAAGGCTCTCTCAAGCATTTGGTAACCATTCCATCCTGCAGCACAGAACAACTCCTAAGTCAGGTTATGAAATACAAAAGACAGCACGGGAAGAAAAGCAGATTTTCCTTGCTCCCATTTTTGACTTGGTTATCCAATGCTATAATCATGTAAAAGATGCCACATTCATTCCTGCAAGGTAAACTCCAAGGGTTAGTGCAGCGAGAACCAAACCCAGCCTCTGCAAGAAGAACATGCTAGAAACACTTCTCCTCCTCCCAAGCAGGAGGAGATGGGCAGATGGAGGACTCAAAGGAGCAGATTTCACTTTTTTCCTCAGTTTTTGCAAGTATTTGCTCCACTACGCAGCTCTACCCCTCCAACACCAAGGTTCTTTAAGCCTGTGCTTCAGCTGCCACCTTTCCAAACTCAGTTTAAAAAAGCCTTGACCTCTCCCTGATCAAAGCCATCTCTGAAAAGACAAACTGAATTCCCAGGTAAGGAATAACTGCAAAGGAGGGACTGCTATCCTAGAAGGGACAGCTGGGTGGAATTTCAAAGTCTGAGGTAACAACAGGCAAGGCTCAAACAGAGAGTAACTCATGGACCACAGAAAAGGAAAGGGCAGGGAAGGCCCCTCCTGGGCGAGCGCCCACAGGGCCCAGCCTAATGCTCCCTTTTGGCCTAACTGCATCCCCAGGCCCTTTCCCTCCACGACCACCTGTGTTTTTGCCATCTTCTAGTCAACTGCGGAATCCATCCACCTTTTACTATTTGTTATTATTCCTTACTACATGAAATAATATCTTTTCCAAGATAGACAGGTGTCCAGAAAGTGTTTCCCAGTATAGAGTTATCTGAAAATGAACAAAAAAAAATGCTTTCATTGAAGTGTTTCTTTAAAAAACAGTGGGCATCCAAATTATTTCAGTTATTAAATGACTTTCTTTTCCAATCCCAAACATTTAATATTGTTATTTTGTTCAGTGCTTTTTTTGATTGTTTGTTTTTGAGGGAGTAAATATTGCAAATACTTCCAGGACAAACCAAGAGGTACCATGGGCAAATGCAGGGTTTGGAAAGCCAGGCTTCCAGGGCGGAATGCACGCAGGTACGGAACGCGTAACTATCCACCCGACACAGGAGCAATCCAGGTGCACCAAGGATACGTAGAACACTCAAATAATTTTAGTCAGTAATTTTTCACTCACGTAAATGACATGACTCCAATTTATACACGGTAAGCAAGAGCAAACCCAGGTGGGGAATCCACACGGATCCCGACCTCTGCAGCTCGGGAGCAGCCCTGTGACAGCACGACAGCCGCGGGAACCTCGGGAACGTCCCGTGGCCGGCCGCAGCGGCAGGGCCTGCGTTCAGCAATACCACGGGAAGACATTCGGAGCAATTACAAGCTATGGGATCACATCCCTCCTGCCTCCTGGGGGTGGCTCGGAGCCATTTCTATTTGTTTGCATGTTGTTACGGCAAAAACAAATCGCTAGGCTGCTCTGAGGCAGGCAGGGGATGGGGAGGAGGCCAAGTACATCCCAAGGGCTCTCCCCACAGGAATGATAGAGCAGAGACGGGGAGGCTCTCAGCCAGGCTGGGCCTCTCTGCGGGGCTTTGGGGATGCATTTCACAGCAGGGGATTAATCGCAGTGAAGAGCTTGTGAGTCACGGCCGCCCTCGTGTATGTTACCGTCACGAGGAGCCCTTCTCCCAGGCTCTTCTTGCAACAGCTGTGGAGAAACAGAGCTAAGTTCTAGCCCATGGCCAGGAGTCGCAGCCTCTTCTGCTCTCATGCCCGGTTCCCCTCCAGCGGATGCCGCAGAGCCCCGCAGCGCAGCCTTGAGGAGCAAAGCTCACCAGCTTGGTGCTCAGTTTTCCATTTGAAGTGGCAGCTTTTTTATTCAGGAAAAATAAACATGGATTTAATAACCTAAATGTGAGAGAAACAGC